ATTTGTTGCACTAGAAGTGATACCAAACTGATAAGAAACAGGGTGCCGGGCATTTACATGTTAAAATGGCATCAAAATGGTACTGTTTAACTAAAGTGAGCATTTCAACTGACACAGTGACAGCATCTAAATGTGTTTATATCACTGTTTAATGGGTTTTAAAATTCATGATTTAAGACCATTGTGTTGCCCACATTTGATGACAGTCCAAATTCATAGCAAAAATACAATAATAGTCCTATAATCACAGGCCGTGTCTTTTTTACAGGGATTTTTGTGACCACAAATAGCAGCAGTTCTAATCTGTGTTTTATTTTTTATTTCTAATTTGAACATTTATTTGACATTTATAAAAACAGTAATTTGCTGAATGAAGAGACTTATGCCTTGACAGTTTGTAAAATATTTCAAGGAATATTTTGACATTCTGGATAATGTGCTTATGCACAGTTTGATGAGACGATGGATACCGCGCTCATATAGGTACAGTAAATATGAAGCTAGAGACAGCATCTGCTTAGCTCAGCTTAGCATTAGGGCTGTCATGATATCAAATTTTCACTACAAGACAATTGTGGCCAAAAGAATCCACATAATGATATCGTCATGATTTCAATAGAAAATTTACAAAAATTAGTTTTGTCTCTTTTTTGGCAAAAGAGTTTGACTCAAATACTTGTTTGGGGAAGTCGAGAGACAGTCTGTGCAAAAAGAATCCACAGGACCTAACATTGTCCATCACAATATTATCACGTGTATTATTAACACAAGATCAATATTTAATTTTTTTTTTTTTTTTTAAATATCACGGTTATTGTCAATACTGGTACAATGCGACATTCCTACTTAGCATAAAGACTGGAAACATATAGCCTGTCCAAAGGCAACAAACTCTGAACTACCAGCTCACTAAATAGGAAGTTATTTCTGGTTTGTTTAGCACAAAGGTGCTGGTAGGCAAACTGGTTTACCCCTTGTTTCTCTGACTAGCTGCTGGCTGCAGCCTAATGTTTAGAGTGGTACTGATCTTATCATTGAACTGTCAGCAAGAAAGCAAATAGGCAAACTTCCCAAAATGTTCCCAAACTTCTCCTATAACAACCATATCCAAATTCACGATGACCAAAATAAAATGCACTTGTAAGAGGTCTTTATGTGTATTTAGATTGTGCCTCGAACTGTATGGCGTGGTGTAAAGTACTGTCAAAATAAATGTATTTAGTTTCGGCTATTGTGACAGAATCGCCAGAAGACACCTTTTAGTTTTTTTTTATAGGGATGCACTGGACCAGTATCATGGCTGGTACTGACCTTATTAAGCAGCCTGACAGCATGATGTAACCATCCACGCATAGTTTTATAGTTTTCTGTGGTGCTCTGTTCATTTGCAACTGTATACGCAACACTGATATATAAAACTACTGCTGGCACTACTCCATTTCATGACTTCACAACTCAATTTCATAAACGTTCTAAATAAATAAAACCTCAAAAGGATGTTGGACACATCTGTAAAGTTAAGAAATAATAATATAATAATAATAACAAATAGTAACCTTACACATACTGTAGAGGAATCATCCTATTCAGTTCAACAACAGAAGTTTTATTTTTTAAATTTTAGGGCAAAAAGATCATTGGTATCAGACAGGTACTTGTATGTGCAGATTCTTTGTTGTGTTGGGTATCAGAATCAAAACCGGTGGTGGAAAAATCAGATTGGTGCATCCCTAGATTTTTTTAAAAAATTTTTTATAAGACCATGAATTATGCACTGTATTGTAACATTAAACATTTTGACTGTCATTGTCTGTACACAATATGATTTAATGGCGCACTTTATTTTACATTAAACATATTGCATTTTCATTGTTGTTCTTGTGGATCTAGTGAGGGTTGGCATACTGTAGGCAGGGAATAGCACAGTACTAAATATGGCGTCTGTTTTGGTGTTTGGCTTTTGAATTTCATCCACATATTGCAAAGGTGGATTTCAGAGCGTGAAGTGGGACTGAGAAAGAAAATGTTATGGGGAAAGTTCATATAAATGTTTGATATGTATGTTAATTTGGATTTTTGAATTAAAAAAAAAAAACTAACTGTAAGGATAAAAGGAAGAGGGCAACAAAATGCGCCGATGTTAAAATTTAGAGCAGATCTATTTTCAACAAGTATTGTATTCAACATTTAACTGTCTATAAAAAGGTCCCTCAAAATTTCCCAGAAGATAATGCTACTATGATAAAAATTAAAAAACTATACACTGCAAAATGAATCATAATCTTCACAAAGTACAATTTACCATAGATAGATTTATTTTGCAGTCAAATATACACAAACTGGGACATGAATGTTGGACACCAGAACGCATGTTACACATGACACACTGCCACAGGTAGAACAAAGTCGGATGAAAGTTTATATTTTTTCACATTTAAGTTACTTTTAAATCATGAATGCTTGTCATTACATACACATGCGCACAGAATAAAATCTCTCCAACCTTCAAACATACTCACACACACACACACACACACACACACACACGCTCTGAAAACTGGTACATAAACATAAATGTACAAAAACACGGTCACAAACATTTACAGGTCTTCATCAAGAGGTCCACCTGTGTGCCAAAAATATACATATACAGTGTACTGTATATATGATCAAGAAAAGACATCATTTGTACACATGGCAAATTCATAGCAGGCGACATTTAAGAGCAGCTGAGCAACAATGGTACATTCAAAAAATTTATTGGCAATCAAAATAACTTGCACACACACTCAACACTTGATAAAACTGGCTCAACAGGCACATCTGCCAAAGATTAGGCATCTAAACACAGAGATATACCCCACAGAGAATAGTTACATTTAAAACAAAAGTTCAATAGTTTGGGAAATATGCTTATTTGCTTTTTTTTTCTGAGATTTAGATGATAGGATGGATACCACAGAGACTGAACATGGAGTAAACAGCGTGTAGCTAATAACTACCAGCTAGCTGTTTTATTTATTAGTAAAGGAGGGACAGCTAGCTAGTATTAACAGGGCATCTGCAGGGCAAAAAGGCCTAAGATGGTATTAAGAAACCAGTTCAGCTGTTTCCCTCTGCTAAGCTAGCTGCTGCAGAAGCTGCATATTTAGCATACAGACATGGCAATAATATCAATCTTCTCATCTAGCTCTCAGAAAAAATGGAATATTTCCAAAAATGACAAACTATTGTTTTAAGAAAATATGTCAAGGGCTTTTCTTTGACACATATTTAAAGCATGATACTAAACTAACTGTAAGAAAAGGTGTTTGTGAAGAGAGGTGCACCTAGTTTTAGGCAAAATGAAGCTAAAACTTACACTGCATGATTTTGTTGTAGCGCTATTCTTCAAATTTACTCCCATCCCACAATAGTTGTCGTGAAACTGAGACAGTTCACGTTTTGTTTAAAAAACAAAACCAAAAAAAACACACACATAATGGAAATTTGGGCATTTGAGACGGGAGCGCTGTGACAAATCACTAAATCTTAACTGTTCCAATGTTGCACACTGGGACTTATCCAGAATAAAATTTACTTGTAGGCTTGTTTGCTGATTTGTGTGAAGACAAATCACAAAAATTAGAACCATGTTAACCATGTGGCATATAGGTGCCTTAAGGCCCCACCCTACACCTGTTTCATCCAAAATCCAAAATCTAAAGCTCAAACAGCAAATCAGTGCCAGTCAAAACTTCCCCCTCTCTATTAAATCACCAAACTAAAATTGTAACACTTTGCTGCCACCTTGTGGTAAACAAATAAACAGCACAGGCGAGGTCAAGAAAGGAGTTTTCCTCTGTTCTTTTTTTTTTTTTTCACAGACAGTAACAGCTTTGAGACATGGTCGTTTCCATCTGAGCTGATTCAGACTCAGAGTGACGGCTGGTGATAGAACACGTAAGCAGCAGCAGAGTGGTTTTTATTTCACTCTCGCACACACTTTGTGTTTTATCTGTCGCAGTTCATCCATTTTCTTGCACCTTAATTAAATAAAACAATCTTTTCCACTTCTGGCTCTAGCTCCCTTGACAGTATCTTGTCTCACACTCATTCACTGTTTTGTCCAAAAGCAGCCGAGCAGATGCCTTAAAAATTATGCATTTCGTCAGTTGTGTGTATGTTTTATCTTGCTTTTTATATCTATATTTCATCTCTTCTCTTATCCTCTGTAGCTTTGGACAGCAATTTCCCTTCCATATTTTTGTTTTCTTTAAAATCAGTAAAGAGACATTGTGCCACACATCTTCCACTGTCACCACTTGTGGCACTACAGTTATGGCACTTTGACTACGAGTCATACAACTATTACACAGAGAAAAGCATGTGTACTGTACATTGAGTCATTTCACATGGCACTGGTTTATGGAAAATAAATATACATCCTTATATGTTCAACAATATCACCAATTCATCGTTTAAAGTTACTACATTCTTTTAATCTACGCAGATGACAGTACAAAAAATAAATATCTCAAGTTAATATGGTGGAAAAAAATCCTCCTTTACACATCATTTCACATTTCATCTTATTAAACAATTTCCCCGCCTTAAATTAAATAATTTCCCCACAATTATTGTTTGTTAGTTTGTTTGTGGAAAAACAGAAAGACAGAAAAGAGAAAAATGGGCAACACTCAGATTGTCAAGAGCTGTCACATTAAAGCATTTTGTGTTGACTGTTACAGTGTGTATTGTTTCTGTTTTGAAGCTGTTTATGTTTGACGTTAGTGCTGAATTGAGATGGACTTGCAGTTATATTGAATGGATTTTAGTTTAACCCAAAAGGCTAAAAAAAAAAAGAAAAAAAAAAAAAAAAGCTGCAATTATGCAGAGCATAATGCACATCATAATCGAAAAAAGTTTTTAAATAGAGACAAAGAAGAATTTTACCAATAAATAAGCAAAATATTTTCTATTTTCGTTGCACATAATGATAAAAAGCACAATTTTGCAAAGTCATCCATAATAAAACACACCGCTCTATACATTCTTTGCAGGAAATGACTCTTACTACACGTCTAACTTATCTGTTCATTGTCCTGTAAATAAAAGTGATAGCTATTTGTGACTGACTAGGCACTTTGGAATATGAGTGTAGGAGATGGTTCATTTCAAAATTTTAAATGAAGAGCAATTTAATATGGCACAATGGATTGAAGCTCAGAGGAAAAGAGCAAAGAATCCTGTCATCTTTAAGAGCATTATCACTGCCTACAATAAAATGCGGCACATATGAACTCATGGCGTTATGAGGAGCTTTGGGTAAAAGCATCCGCTAAATGGCACCTGTACTGTTCATGTTCACAGTCTGCAAAAACATATCCGTTAAATGTATGAAAGGGAAAACCAATTGGAGGATACAACTGTAGCACTAGTACTACTGCAGACCTCTGCAGCGACACTGTTTGTGAGCATAAATCAGTTCAGTGTACATTCTCAGTGTATTTTTCTTTTTTTAAAATACATTTTTAGATTCCCTCATGTGCTGTTACATCCTCTACAGCAGTAATTTGATAATTCAAATTAATCTAAATATTTTTAGAGGCCTGAAGAGGTGAATTTAAAGAACAGTTTATAAGAAAAAAAAAAAAGCAAACATACATTTTCTTTTAAAATAAATATAGTTTCATGGAGCAGATAAATGTTCATTCATCATGTGACTCCTAGGTTTGGAGACACCGCTCTTCAACACTCATTTATTTTGGCACTGTGTTCCTATATATATTTATACTAGTTGTGTGTTTTTTCTTTAAAAATTATTTAATACAAACAAATATTTCAGAATAGAGTGGGCAGGATCTTCTGGGTCTCCAGGATATGTGATGAAGTCTACAGATTTGGGCTCCAGTTCCTTTCGTTTGAAAAGGTCATTACAATACTGCGTTATGCAAAAGAAAGAAATTCTGATCTAGACACCAAAAGTAACTATTTACAAAGTCCATGAGTTGTTGTTGTTTTTTTTTTTTTAACATATATTTTTTGACATACTCTGTACTTATGGCTGATTGTAGAAAAATGTTTAAATTCAAGATGAAACATTTAAACAATGAGCATTTGTACAAGCAAGGCGAACGTTTGGTTGACGTTTAACTTTGGACTGTTATGAGATCAGATCCAGTCAGGCAACCTGTATGGCACTTTGAAGCACATTTACTTTACACCAACAGCCAAATATGACCCCTACATTTGTTACTTAACTATTCATCTTTTTTTACAACTTGTAGTGTTTCTTTTGGCACAAACTCTACTTTAATTTTATTTATAAATAAAACAGTAAAATGGGGTAAATTTGACATTAAAATATTGGCAGAAAGGGAATTCCTAATATTTATTTTGTTTTAATTGATGGAGTAGAATTTGAGTTGTTTGTAAAAATATTAAGTGTATCATTAATCATAAAAGTTTGCAGCCTACAGAGTCAGCTGCAGCACTAAAATAGTCAAATAAATACAACTGTAAATCGTTTAACCAAGTTAAATTCTAATGTATGAAAGCCAGCTATGCACCTCTAATGAATCTCCAGTAAATGCTTTTAGAAATACCTCATTGTCTAAAGGCCAAACTAAAAAACATAAGAGGTGTGAGGGGCCACTTTGGTCTGTTCTGGTTGGTCTGGATGTACGTTAGTGGAACGGCACCTTGAAGTTGAGTCCGCCCAATCAGATGCTCAGGTGGGGAGGCTGATGTTGGCGTTCTCCGCCAGCGGGCTGGACATGCGTATCTGGGAACTGCTCTTGCTGAGGATCGACAGCTGAGTCCCGCCGTTCACTCCACTGCTGGCCAACGAAGGGTGCCTCTGCTGCTTCAGGTCCACAGCAAAGTACCGGTTCACCGTCCAGCTGCGCCATTTCCTCTTGATCTCCGACTGCACCTTCAGGGAGAAACTTCACAAGGTCATTTTTAATGTACTTTAAGCTGTACCAGCTCCACGAAAAGGTACAGAACACCTGTTTAATCCCTGCGAAGCCTTTTCAACCGGTGTGTAAACAGTTGATGAATGACTGACAATATAATATATATTATATCAGGGGTCAACAACAAGATCCATGACCAGTTTTACTCAGTGTTGTTGATTATGACACCAACATTTTACAGTGGAAACAGACTTATATGTTTATTATTTCTTTAATTCATTTCAGAGCAGATGCCATTGTTTCCATTAGTAAGTGAGGTCTTACAGTGTAACTGCACATTATGTTGTATATTAGCCAAGGCAAAAAAAGAGACTAATTTCTGTAAATGTAGGTTCTGTGTTGTACTATGAGAGAAGGGATGTAATTCACACACATTCAACTGTGGTGTTCTTCAGTTATGGCTGAATGAAAGTATTTTTAATTTGTTGTTGTTGTTTTCTTAAAAACAAATGTCATCAGTACATCTGTAAGGTTGGTCAAAGAGGCTAAATTTAAATAGTGTTGTGTAATTTAAATGAAGGGAATATTATAATTATTTTTTATTATTAATGATCACATTAATCAGGATTTACATGAGTCTTAAAGTTACTTAGCCTATTAATTTACTGTATTTATTGTATTTTCTTAATGAAGCACTTTACATCCATTAAATTCTTCATTAACTGTGTATTTAATTTTTTATAAATACATTTTATTCACTCTCTATTACAACTGAGCAAACTCCTGAAAGCTCTGGAAGAAATCTAGTAAGTGGAACTAGTTAAATTTTCTATTTTTTTTGTCATACTATTACCAAAGATAGAACCCTCAAGCCCAGCATTGAGCTTTCATTAGTTTTGAACACATTTATGAATGTGCAATATAATAAATCTAGAATATAAATGTAGAATCTGTTCATTTGTATGATTAATATGATTACAGCAATGTTATAGTGTGTTATCAATTGTTGATTAACACCAGCTACAATTGTTTTATTGGAGAAACTATAACTGTTGACAAATACAGAAATAAACTGCTTAACATACTGCTTTTTATTACCTTCTGGGTAATAATCAGTAGACATATTTACAAACACAGACATCTATACTACATACACCTTGAGCAATCGAGGAGTTTGTCAGGGACGTAAGCTTACCTCTCCATTGAGGAAACAGTAGAGGACAGCTACCACAAAGCCCTGAGGAGGAGAATGGAGACAACAAATGAGGGAAAATCAGCTTGAGATGGAAATTTGCTTTTATTTTTAAGAATATCAGAAAAGGACAAAAATATATCAGAAAGAGTCTGACTGTGGACTATCACTATTAAACATTGGACTACAAAATGTTGTGTGTTGACAGTTATGAAGATTCAGTACCCATGAATCATAATGTGGCATCAGGAAACTACATGAAATGTCTACTGATCTGTAAAGGTCCTCCTCACTGCTTAGCTGGTGGTGATGGTGAGAAGACAAGGATTGAATATCACCATCAGCCTCCTTAAGAGCCTCTTTGTAGCCTGTACACTCAGATGACTTATTATCCCATTATGTCCTCTCATTCATCATCTGGTATTTCTCTTTAATTGAGAGCGGACGTTGGAGGAGCTCTAACACTGTACCTGGAAGGATCCCAGTCCCAGTTCAAAGACCAGCCTCTCCCTCTTGCTGACATCTTCAGGTGAGAAGGCGAACACAGTGTAGTGAATGCCAAACAGAGGGATGAGCAGCAGGGTGGAGCGCGCCAGACGCCTGTGCACACACACATACACGCGCACACACAGAAACACACGTAACACAGTTTAATCAAACTGACGTGTAAGTGAGATTTCTAATGTGAACGTGTTTTTACTGCTGCTGGTCATCTGGATGTGATGCAAGAACAGAGCCACTGATGCAATGCCATGATACCGTTTCTGCCTATTGATGTGACCTCGTCTTTTACTTTTAAAAATAAATGCTTCACAATCTCTTAAATTAAATCATGACTTCTGCATATTTTGTTTAAAATGAAGGCTTAACTATAATTTTCTTTTGGTTTTTATTTTCATGTATTTATCTTATTTTCTTATTGTCAAAAAAATCCCATAAAAGACCAAAACCAACAATGAACTGATCCATCTAACAAGTATTGTCTGTGCAGACAAAGCCTGATATCATTCCTCTGTGCCATTGAGCTAAACTAAAAATGATTAAAAATACATAAAGGATGCCACAAAGTAGCACTGGGTGACATTTCCATCATTATAATAAACATGGGCAGTGAGGTTTCCTTTCAGTCATTCCCATAAACACTTTCCTGCTGCCATAGATACTACAGCATCAAATGTGTATTAATTTGCAGCTGAAAACCAACAGATGCACCATTTACTCCTGTGTGAATAACTTTCGCTTTTGCTTCAGAAAAACACTGGGTCTTTTTTTTTTTTTTTTAAACTGGACCTATACATTTATGTTTTTAAAGCCTTATATGTTCTATAGGACCAAATGAGCTTAGGGCTGAGTGCAAAACACAGAGTGGGTATTGAGTGATGGACTAACACGTTAGTTTTAATCTTGTAAATGGGATTTCTTGACAATAATAAAAATATGTCCATTAAGAAACCAGACCAAACAGATTATTGTTGACGAGCAATCTACCCCCGTAGTCACACAGATAGACAGAAATACACAAAGAACACACAACAGATGCCACTTTAAAAATGGAAGACACAAATGTACAACACTGTGGTTTTTACAGTGTAGTCCAATGACACCAGGTCCTTAAAAACAGTCATTATACTCTCAACCCTTTGACTGTGAAATATGAGAAAATCAAAAGTAGATCAAAAAGTAGATATGACATTTTGTGCCGCTGTCTCTCCACGAGCACTAGAGAAACATATCTGAGATAAACCAAATAAAAAACTACAGATTTCTTAATGTTCAAAATGCGTGTATTTGTGTATTTGTGTGCCCATGTACATCTACCTTTGTGAGGACCGGTTTGAGTTTTATTAAGCCTTCAAAGGGACATATGGGGGTTATGACTTGGTTTTAAGGTTCAGGTTAGAATGAGATGTAGGTTAGAGAACAGGAGCAAAACAATCATAGGTTTAAATGGCCGACACCAATGTGTTTCGGCTAGAAGCCTTCAGCATGGTTTTGAAATAAAATACAAACACAGACACTTAAGTGGCACAAGACATGACACAAATGAGTTACAGGAGTGTGGTTAGAGGGAAGGCAGGGCTACAGAAATCACACAGGAGGTCAAAAAGGCACTGCAAACATTTACCAAAATATGTGTCTTCACATAAATGTATAAGAATCCAATGAGAAAGGCTATAAAAAAATCCCAGACACATAAAAATTTCTAAAGAAATTTCACATAAAAATTAGATTTACACAATATAAAAGGAGAAAAACACGACTTTCACATTACTCCTACAAATATGGATTAAAATCAATCGTAAACTGACAAAATCCAAAAGGTTTCCTTTGGAAGTATTTTGTTGGTGTATATTCTGACCTCACTGGTAATTACTTTGAGAGAATCAGGGTTAGTGCCATAGTGTAGTTTTGTAAAATCTGCCCATGGAATATTCCTCATGACCAACTCTTATACCATATTTATGTTCATCAATTCTCCCCTTAAATTTCCGTTTAGTCCTGCCGGTGTAAAACCATCTTGTTGGTGTAAACACTAGTGAAGACTTTGGCTAGTGGATATTTCCACAATTGCTTCAGCTTCCACATTGAAAACATCCTTTTGGGTTGATGTGTTAAACAAGTAGTCTCATAATCTGGAGGCAAATAAATATGTGTAGCTTTATCTCCATTTCTAGGGGTCAGTTTCAAAAATATAATGAGCCTGTCTTTAGGTTTAGGTCAGGATAAGAGTTGGTGTCTGGAATGCAGCTGTGATGGTTAATGTTAGGGTTAGGGGTGAGGGAACACATAATGTCAATGAGGGTCCTCACAGGTACAGAAGTACAAACGTGCGTGTATGTGTGTGTGAGGGAGAGTATGCATTTGGGAATCCAGACCATTAAAAAAACTTTAACAACCCTTTGTTACACACATGCGGTTGACATAGACAGACACACAAACACACGTGTCTGAGGACAAACACACACACACACACACACACACACACACTTACAGTGTGATGGTAGATAACTCTGACATCCTGCACGAATGCTGAACAGCCTGTGTGGGCTCACTGAAGCATTTCTGAGCACAGCTGCTACACAGCACAAAGACAACACAACAATACAACAAAGACAGTGTCTTTAGGGACACAGACACACAGTCTCGCACAACACACACTCACACACAACTTCACACTTGGTCACGCACGTACAGGTCTAAGCAACAGATGAGAATGACATTATCTGCAGGGCCTCAAAAGACACTATCCTGTGGGAACAGAACAGGAGTGATGTCTGGCTACAGTACAACTCCATAATGAGGCTCAAGCTTCCTGCCAACAGGTAGCACAAATGAATCTGTTCTGAAAAGTGTCTGGAAGGACATATCAGAGATTCAGCGATATGAATTTGGAAATAAGACTGTTATGGCTTCTCTTCAATTCATGTATTAGTGCATGGCTCCTGTCTGAAAATAGCTCTATTGTTTTCTTAAGTGTCAGATAATGTATTTAAAGGGACAATGCCCACTGACCCAAAGGGGAACAAAAAAGGAAAATAAAGCAGTTAGTAAAGACGGAGATTTACATTTAGTGTCCATGGTGTCATCTGGTGTCTCATTAAAGGGAAAAAGGCTGTGTTATTCTGTTTTCTTCTTACTGTCAATAAATCCCTCGAAAGGACCAACAGTGTGTTTGTCAGTCTCTCAATACAGCCCCAAACCTGTTTGTTCCTATTGCAAATTTTTAAAGAAGTCCGCAAATACATTAAAAAAGACTTGGTTATTTCCTGAAACAGCTGGTCAGTGTAGTTTTTAGAAATACAATTTAAATGGAAGTAAATAGTGCATTTTGGGGGGGGGACTATTTTCATCAGTGGATGAACACACATTCGGTACTCCAGTGCAAATTTACAGCGCCTGCAGTGTCCGAGTTTGTGGTAATGAAGGAACATGTCACCTCGTGTAACAGTGGGGCTCACTGATGGGTTTATAATAGTTTCTGCACAACAATGGAGCTGTATGGCACAGAGCAATAAGTTACATGAGGCTTTAGATACACGGGCAACACGAAAACACTAAACACTAAAAGGAATTCATTGTTGGATTTTCATGGGATTTGCTTACAATAGAAAATTTAAAAATATCACCACATTATCCTTTCAGCAAAGGTAATTAACCTTTATAAGTACTAGAAATCTCAGAACCATAGTAATTAACTGTTTTCTATAATAAACATTCTTTAAGTATATTCTCCACACACACACACACACACACACACACTCACACACACACACTTTTGACTTTTCTGAAGACATGCACCACTTGTGTTACTGAATTTGATTATTGAAACTTACAGGTAAATGCTTGATTCATTCCCTCCGATATCAGGGGACTGGAGCTTCTGGACCAGGATAATAATAATTCCAATGAAAAGGACAAAATTGATCTGAGGAAAACAAGTGGAAATATAATAAATCTGTCATAAATTGAGGGAAACAATAGATGAGCTGAGTAACAATAATACACGAGAAGAATAATTGAATGAACAAATCAGCATCTGCCATACCATTATAGAGGCCACAACTGGTCCTTTGATCACCCACCAGAGGGCAGTGTTCTCATTTGTATCCCAGCACCTGGAAGAGGATGAACACAGCGCTGATCAATAATCATTCAGCGTTCCCATCTTCACTTTCTCTCCTCGACTGGTAATACATGGCACCGTACAGTGCATCAATCAGGTGGCCATTTACAGAGCAAGGGAGGGAAGGGTCAGAGGTGACTGGAGGATTTAAAATGGCAGAAAGCCTCACAATTGAGAATGAAAAGATTGGATTGAATATACTTAGAAAACTCTGTCTAATACTTCTCATGCAGATATTATTTTCTGCTTAGATTTATATATTAGATTACTTAATGAAGAAATGATAAAAGATGGAAAGATGGAGACAAAGGTAGGCAAATCAACAAGGGTTTGTTAAATGAATGCCAAAACATTGGTAGGTCACTTACATAATCCCATGAAACACGTGATTGGTTTTTAAAAATTTGATTTTAAAAACATTGTCAGTATAAATGAAATGATCCGTGGTTACGTCAGCAATGAAGAGAGTTATTTCTTATGGGTGTCATGCGTTCCCCTAAATTCCTGCAACTGCATATCTCTTCTTCATCCTAAATTGTGCAGGATCAAAAGGAGATACATGTGTGAGGAATTATCTTGACACAGTTGTAGACTTTAGTAATTGAATATCAGCATCCCAGCAGCCTCTGTTTCTTTGCTTTGATATGATAAGTGCATCTTACCATATGAAAGTGGTTAACAGTTGACATGCACTTCTTCCTTTTCTGAAGGAGATTCTGACAATGGTGGAAGAAATAAACATTCCTGATGCAGAAAAATGGCCTATAGTATTATATGACATAATAATTACTCATGCATTGATGTGTAAGCCTCATTTTGTGGCTGCTGGTTGAGATGGACGTATTTTTATTCAGTATTTTATATAAGGCTGCAAATAATGATGATGAATAATGATAAATAATGTTTTTATTATGGATTAATCTCCTCATTATTTTCTCCATTGATTGACTGATTGTTTAGTTCTCAAAATAGCGAGAAATGCCTGTCACAGTCATCCAGAGACCAAAGTGACCCCTTCACACCGCTTGTTTTTACAAACCTACAGTCCAAAACTCAGTATTATTGAAAGGAAAAGCAGCAAATCTTCACTTTTGAGAAGCTGGAACTTTGAAACATTCTATATTTTATTTTTCATGAAAAATGACCAGTGAAAGTAGTTGGCAATTTTCCATCATTTTACTAATAATTTCAGCTCTACTCAAATATTTAGAGTTAGGTTAAACACCATTAATTTATCAGCTTATAAGATAAGATATTTCTTTATTATAAATTTAATATCAATGGATTATAACTATTGATTCATTAATGTGGACATATCACTTGTTGCAGCTGGTAAAAGTGGGGCTCATATCAAATAATCTACATACTGCTGTGCTGCTTGTGAATTCTACCATGGGGATCAATAAAGTCTTATCTTACCCTAAAATAACACATCATTATTTATTAGTTGATTATATTTTGTTTAATTAATCACAGACTGAAAAATAACTAGTTACTGGCCTAATCAAATAAATGTAGAGCCGTATTTGCATGTAGCAGAGAATGAAAATACTTGAAGTACAAGTACTTCAAAATTGCAATCAACTATAGTGCTTGGGGAAATGCACTTTATCTATTACTTTCCACCACTAAAATACAAGGAAGGGAGGAAGAGTTGAGACATACCCAGTGTCGTGAAAATGGAGCCTCAGAACTGCCCAGACAGTCACACAAATGGTGGGAGTTCCTGTGATAACAGTCATCAAAAACACAGTATGTTTGTCATAATTATAGAACTTCTCATTGGTCAAATCATGCTTTTAGAAATGCCAACATAAAGTGAAATAACAGAGTCATATATTCATAATTGTAATCTTATCTATATCATATTCTATCCATAGAAAGACCAGAAATACAAGATAAATATTACAGGTTGTCATCATGATCAGCAGAGGAAGAACTCTAAACTGTTCAAGATGATAGTTCTACTTCATCTGCATTTTACTATGGTATTTAAAAACTTTTATAGGAAATTCAAATGGAATCTTAAAGAATCCATTTGTTTTTATCTCATATTAACAACCACATACTCTTTAGAGGACTATCTACTGTATAGTTATATTCAAAATACTGTAATGTATCCCACTGAACTCTCTCTCTCTCTCTTCTTCTATGTATCTAAAAATTGACTATACTCAGGAACAGACGGAAACAAGAAGACTAAATTTTGAAAACTAAATGTTATTGAGCAAGAATTTTCCATTTTCCACCACTAATGACAATCAGTCAGAGACAGACACTCACCCCATCCCACTATGGTGTACCAGTAGAAGTATCGTCTCTCAGGAAAAAAGGTCTCCACCAGCAGAGTGAAGAGATACAGTCCTTCAATGAACAGCCAGAAATAGTTGGACATGACACAGTAATGGAAGAAAACCATCACTGCTTTACATGCCACCTGCACAGAGGAACACAAGGGTAGAGGGATGATTTCACATCTGTATTACTTGTGTTATACAATCCTTTAGGGGGACTGGAAGTGTGAGAGAAGCTTGTGTCAATTCTGCAACAATATCATAAACAAGTGTAAAAATATTTGTAGTGCCATCAGCCACTTGTTAGATCTTAGAAAAAGCTGAGAAAAATTAAACATGTTTATTCACAGAATAGCTGGACATTTGGAGAAGTACATGCATTTGCTTGTCAAGATTTGAAAGAGAAGAACGAAAGCACTCTCATATCCTGCCATTTAATATGAAGCTGGAGCCAGGAGACAGTTAGCTTAGCTTAGCATGAAGACTACAGTTAGCCTGCTTCTGTCCAAAGGTGACAAAATCAGCTTACCAGCACCTCTAAATCTCTCTAAACACATTAAATCATGTTTATTTAAGCCCTGAGAAAGTGTGTCAAAATGGCATGTCACTGCTCCTGGCCAAGAAATAATTTGGCTGTGATAAATGATAAAACTGCAATTCAATTCATTTTTACAACATTTAAATAAGTCTCTTTATGCACCCATAGAAACATGTGTAAGCAGCTTCAAAATGGAACATCCATGTTTAATGGTCACTTTATTTTTAAACCTCGAGACAGACAATAAATGTCAGACAGATAAATGTCCTTATTTCAGTAAATCACAGTGCAAAAGCACAGATTGTTGTCATCAGGGTGACAAGACTACAACAGAGTGGCCTATAAAGTTTTTTTCTTGCATGAGATGATGAGTGAATATTCAAACTGTGTCTCTAAAATTCCACAGACAGCAGGAACGACCCACCTTCATGTCAGGTGGACTGTAATCTAATGAGTTCATGTTAATGAATAGAGTTCATATTCTGAGTGGGGTCAACCAATTACAGCACTGATCTTATTCCCGGTACTGCCATGTCATGATGTGACCTGTGGTTGCCATGGTGACAGCAGTAAAGCAGAGGGTTTAAAAAAAAAAAAAGAAAAGAAAAGGGGCAAAGTAAACATTGATATGTTAATGGAGCTCTAGTAGAAGATTTCCACTGGCCTTGCTGAAGCCATTAGCGTTCCTAATTAGGTTTATTTATCATGCCTGCTTAACAACAGTGAGCAATGCGTTGTAACCAGACAAAGGCTAAGAGCTTGTGCTGCATTTGTAATCAGGGAGTATTAGTCATCTAATTGCATGTTTACTTTTTCTAAAATTTGCATGTGATTGAAGTTCCTTCAAAAGGTGCATATCAAACAGCAAAGATTGGAGAATGAGTGTTTCATGCAAGTCTGTTTGTGAAGCTCTCTTTAGGCCTCAAACAGAACAGGCCTCATCATGTTTTCCTCTCTGAAATGAGTGGCTGCACTTCGTCGAAACCCTTTAATAATGCTCTCTGGAACCGATTAACCAATAATCTTGACAACATTTTGCTACTGCCAATACTCCGCAAACTTCTTATAGTGACTCCAAAAATGCCAGCAATTATTTTGTCCGAGTAGGGATCATTTAGAATAATAAAGGCCCCATTTTGCAATCATCTGCTTCAAATTAAAATTAGTGAAATAATTAGAGTTGTGAATTAAAAAGACCTCCTTCATTTTTTTCATTAATAACCAAACAAGCAGTCACGGCTGTTTTCTTTCCCGCTGATGAAAACCATAAACCACAGACGGTGTGTGTATTACAGGGCCTCTAAATGACTTTACGTGTATATGAATTAGCTGTTGTTACTGACTGTGTGTACGAAGCAGTGCTCGCTGTCTTCCCGAGCGTAGAGCACACCGTCCTTGATGAAGACTGAGATGGCTCTCAGGATGAAGGACACAAACAGATTCATGTGAATGAAGTTTCTGGTGCAGTGGAGCTTCCTGGAGAGAGGACAGAGAAAATATATCTAATCTCATCTTGTCTTCACTCTCAGAACTTCATCAGATCAGCTGGGATAAAGTGATTAACGAGATTTTCATTAAGTTTCAAGCTTTTGAACCACTGGCTGTTTTTACTTGATTCTCTTGCTAATGGCGCAGTCACTGTACTGTGTGTCTTAGCTCAGCATGCTTGCATTCAAAAATAGTTTTACATAATTTCAGATAGTTTGGTTTTTGGGCCTGTTGGTTGGATGATTACTGCATACAAAAAAAACCTGCATATTCATATGGATAGAGGGCAATGGCACTAGGGCTGCAACTAACTTAGTTATTTTTTCATTCTTGATTAGTCTGCCAATTAACGTTTTTGATTAATCTCTTAATTGTTTGGTATAGGAAATATGAGAAAAGAGTGAAATATGTCCATCAAAATATTCCTTAGCCCAAAAATTACATTTTCAAATTATTTATTTTGTCCAGAAATCAGTCCTTAAGACTGAGAACCTGGAGAAAGGGAATATTTGGCATTTCAATCAAGTTATCAGAAATTTTTCCACTTCATGTTCTATTGATTCACTAATAAGGATAAAGAAACCATTTTGATTAGACTTTTGATGCCTCAGTACTGTGCAAAAATATAATGACAGCTAAAACAAACAAACTAAATCCTTCATTTGTCATGGAATTTGTCAATTTTAATGATTTGTTTTTTCCTTATTTCCACTTGTCTTAACAATAATTTCAATATCCAAATTGCTAAATCATTTTACAAACATGCTTAAATGAAACCTATTTCCTAGCCACATTGCGCCGCTCACCTGAATCTGCAGAGAATAACCATGGCTGTCGTCAGAGACACCAGCGATGTGCTGTAGCCAACTGTGTACAGGGCCTTCACTGATGCGTAGTACATGTCCTAGGGTTGCAGAGAGAGGGTTAGTGTGTGTGTGTCCGCGGTAAATATAATAGTAATGTAGTAGAAAATTCAGATGAAGTCAAAGAGGACGTACAGGTTTGGTGGTGTTTTCATAGAAGAAGAAGGAGCAGACTTCCGCATAGTGAGGGAAAGGTTCAGACCAGCCATCCTCGGTACAGTTACGACTGACCTTCCCCATGTCTGAAAGCACAAAGTATCTAGAAACTCAATAGGACTACACTGAACTGCATGGAGATGATTTTGAAACTCAAATGAGAGACACAGGTAATCTTCTGCTTCCACTCACCATCCTCAGCACTCATGAAATCATGGAAAAGGTCTTGACAGTTGACCACCACAACTTCACCAACACTGGCCGCCTGCCAGCAGGTCAGGTTGTCCCACATCCACGGGCACACTGAGAGGACAAGATAAGCAGAAACACACAATGTCAGCGTACAGCTCTTATGCAGCAATTTTTGCTCAGGAAATGACAGTGAGACTAATTAAACTTAACTGAACTGAATTAAATTGAATTCAATAGTGTTTCATTTCATCGAACCTTTTCGTCACCCACATGGAAAAAACTATTGCTAACATAGAAACAGCTTTCACTCTCTCTCTTTAATGAAGTCAGGTTAACACTTTCTTTTAGTTAGGCAGTGTTAATACTCGTGACACACGCGATAAAAAGTGCAGTGTATTTTCTGTGTGAACAGTTGGGAGCAATAGAAACAAGCTGACAAAGGCACCTTTAAGTTTTTAAGGCAACGTTGTTACTTATCTACAGATCCAGCAGTTTCAGAGCAAAACTATCCTTCGTTTAGCAAATCAAAGTCAAATATTTACTATCTTGTAGCTCTGCTTTGGTTTCCACCAACTCCTGAGGGAAATATCTGGCTCTTAAGCCAAGCAGTAACATTGCAGGTGGATGAGCTGAAGTTCACTATGAAAGCTGAGGGGAGCTGCAGGTTCAGGTAATTAAAAGGTAATGAGGGACCACACATTGTCAAGGTTTCCATATTGTCATATTTGATGCATTGCTATTATAAATAATGTGGATTGCAGATGTTTTAACGTATGCGCACTGATACTCTTCTTGCTCTGCCACCACCTAATATGAAGGGAAGAAAGTGTTTCAATGGGAAACTTTAAAGAGGATGCTGAAGAAGCAGGTCAAAGGTCAGAAAAGTTGCATTTAAAGGTGCACAAAACTATGACTGTAACAGGCATAAAGAAAACCTGTGAAATGCAAAACCTGAAATTGATGAAAACAGGAAATAAAGCTGCACCCTCACAGCAAGCTTGAAGTTTGAACCCCCCACCTGCTCAGATATGAGATGGATTAAAGGCATTAAACCGCACAAAACAATAAACAAAGCTTTAGTTGAACTTTTAAGAGTTACGGTTGACATCACAATTTATCTATGGGCACATAAACACAAACCTATGAGTCTACCAACTTTATCAAAATGTCATTTATTGCACAACAATTCCACCCGTCCTCCGACATCTCAACAGTGCCCGGCCCCTCACAGCCAAAACAAGCTAGTGATGCAAACTTGTCCCTGGTTTAGCAGCAGATCTACTACAACATCACAGAAAGAACAACAACAGAGAAAACACACACACTGCACACACACTGTAGAGCTTTTAACACATCGTATCCCTGTTGAACAAGAATAAAACTACACATCAATCAAGCTTCTGTTCTGTTATTGATTGATCCTGGCTGATAAATTAACACATTAATTGAAACACTGGACTAAAACGAATGATATCACACACACACGGTGGCAGTTCTTGTCTAATAGAGACTCACAAACCAGAACATGTCTTTCTACGCGTCATTGTCACACTTACAAGCTGACACACAACCTTTAAGGGAGTGTGTGTCAGGCCAGGCTGAGAGCAACTTCCTCTTTTCCTCTAACCCCCTGGTTTATGAACAGGAAACAGACGCAGCACATTTCTTGCCAATAGTTACACATTTCCTTGCACACATTAGATATAACATATATATTATAAACAAAGGAATACTGAGCAAACTGTCATTCTTACTGGTTTAATTTAACCACTAACACAGATCTGAGCAGAATAACACTGTTCTCCACTCACCTCTGGCAGTGGTGGACAAAGGTGGACAACAATTAGTAAATGATGCTGATCATTATGATAAGGTTATGGCAGGGCAATGAAAGAGATGTGATCTAGATGGCTGAGTGTTTTGTTTCGGTTGTGTATGTGTGTGTGTGTGTGTGTGTGTGTGTGTGTGTGTGTGTGTGTGTGTGTGTGTGTGTGTGTGTGTGTGCGCGTGTGTGTGTGTAACACAGGTATCAAAGTAAATTAGCTGTGATGGTTAAATAATACATAATAGTACATTCATACACTGTTGCCAGTTTATTAGGAACACCTTGCTCAAACTACTGCAGTCTAATACAACTGTCCCGCATTAATGGAGGTTATAATGTTCAGCTTTTGTTGAAACTGTATTGGAGAGGTGTGTCATTTGGGGATTAAACTTTATGATAATTTACTTATACAAATGTTGACATTAGAAAATATCTCCCTGTATAATAAAATAGAAATCAAAAGCACCAGGAACTTCAACCTCCGAATCCTCTAAAAATGACTGTAAAGTTGAATCGACACTTCTCTAAAACAGTTTCAACAAAAACTGAACATGGTAACCTTCAGGAAGGGAGGATTTGTTGCAGAGTTGTGGGTGTACCTAATGAACTGGCAACTAAAGGTATAGGTTTGAAAGTTTAGCAAATCACTTCTGTATTTGACATTTGATTTCGTTTTTTTGTCAGTTTAATCTGATATGATCCACTCATCTACCACAAACAGGCTGAAAACAAACATTACTTAACCAGGGTTCAAGCTTTTGTTTTGTTTTTGATCTCCTTCTCCTCCTCTGCCTCCATCTTTACCTGACTCATGCTCACTGTGAATCTCACATCCTTTATTTTCAGTGCTGTTATCACAGCTTTGATTTCTGCTTCCGTGTTTTTTTATCTTCAGCACCTCCCCGTCCCTCCCTTCTTTCTTTCACCATCTCTCGTTTTACCACGTTGTTTGTGCTTGGGTGGTTTTATAGTGCTGCAGAGGCAGGTGCAAGTCTGATTGGGTGTGTGTTCACTCGCATGCATTTGGAGTCTTTTTGAGTGTGTGTGCATCCGTGTATGTGTGTTCCTGGACTTGTGTGTGTGCGTGTATATGTGTGTGTTTGCAGACCTTTCTCTATTCTGCTTGGCTCTCTAATCTGTTTTGGTTCTGTCTGGTGAGCCGGACACGAAGCCAATTACCTTTTAAAGGGCAAATCGCAGCCAAATGAGCCGCACTGAGCTACAGAGGTAACCGGCTTAATAAAGCACTCTGTCTGCATCACTGGCTATCTCACACAGTCCCACAGTATGCTATATCTTCACTGGGCGGCAAAGACACAGACCAAACACGTACTGCACATGCATTGTATAATATACATGCACACAAACACAGACAGATGGATTCTTTCTCATAGAAGCTGATCTGATCAAAGGAATGAATTTTGCTCTTTTGTGATGTGAGTCAGGGGGCGCAGCTGAAGCAGAATACTGATCAGAAATTCACAGCTAATTTCTCACATACTGTATAACTAAAAACCAAAAGAGAATTTATTCATTATTTTTATACATTGGTTTGAAGAGGAAAACATGTCATGAGGCTCCTGGAAAGATCTGCATCTGGATGTAACTGATTTCTTATGTGAGAAACGTACTAATCACGAAAATTGCAACATTTCAGTAAAACTGCAGCTGATATGTTACGTCATTTTCATCACTAACTAAGGTGCTGATTAAATGTCAGAAAATAGTGAAAAATGTCCATTACAACAACTTGCTAAATGTCAAAGTGATATCATCAAATAGTTTGTTTGTTCCAGAAAACAGTTCAAAACAGATAAGAGATTTAAAGGGAAAGATTAAAGATATTTAATTCACAGTGGTAAAAAAAAAAAAAATCAAGTCATTACATTGTAAAAGTGAAATTGGGGAATATTATGTATTTTTGTCCAGAAAATTATTTGCCAGTTTATTGTCAATCAATTTATTTGTATGGTTGTTTCAGCTCTAAATTTAAGTTATTCTAAAGGGGAATTTAGTGGCCTTTTCTGTAAGGTGACAGTCATGATTAGGTGCCAAAATCCAACCACTAATTTCAATCAATTTCATTCTCATTTAGCATCAGAGAAACTGCCAGATGAAGACGGTTTAGTTCAAAAATAATAAACAGGTGCAGGTCCTTTTCTAAACCCAGCTGGGTGGTGATTACAGCACTTGACAGCAAATCATTATGTCGCAATTTCATATGGCCGGCAGACTAATCTCAGGCCAGAGTATCTCAATTAAAAGTATAATAACAAATGAACCATGAAATACGCTTTTAGAGATGGACTTTGATAAATCAGAAAAAGGAAACATTGTTCAACCAAGCTAAAACCAGACACATTTTGCAAGCTTCCTCCCCCCTTTTCCTCTTTTCCTTTTTTTTTTTTTTTGCTTTTTCTCAAGCCCCAAGTCGGATTTCTGCAAACCAGGCGTTTTTATCTCCTAATGAACGATTTGCTGTCAGCAGAAACACTGGATGGCTCCTTTTAAAGGGAAGGAGGAGGGAGGGATCCATTGAAGGGTCGAGGGAGGCAAACACGTGTGACTATACAGTCTGAAAATGGATGGCTCAATACAGACATAAAGAAGTTTCCATGTTACAGACTGCAGGATACATTTCAACTGAAATTCATACACACGTTTTCAGATGATATCTTTACTTTGACCCACCTTAGAGCACCAGACTTAAAACTCTAGATAAAAACACATTAAAAGTTCACATGCATTTTGCAGGAAGACTGCAGAGCCGACCTTTAAGATCTACAGATGAAAAACGAGCTGAACTTACAGCTACTTCTCCTCTTTAAACTTGTTATCTTACACTCTAAATCTTTTATGTTTTTTTTCAAGGAGCTCGTGGATGTCAGTGAAGCCGTGAGTCACAGTGCAGTCTGGGAGATGCAGTCTGCTGTGCAACTTTCGAGCAGCGGGTGGCCTGCAGCAGTTGCTAATGAAAATCACAATCCGTAGCCAAGAAAATAATTGCTTCCAGGAATCACAGAGCAAGTTTCCTGTGTTTTTGGAAAAGGGACATGTGGGGAAAAATGCGAAAGCAGCTCAGCGTGACATTACAGGCAGACATTTGGTTTGTGAACTGCTCATCAGCGGATTGTTGTCTGTGCAGCATAGCGGTCTTCCAAGGTGATGTATCTGTAATATGAACATGATATAAAGCTACACTCATCTTTCATTCTTACATGTTCATCTCTGACCTTTTCAAAACCGATCGGATAAATGGAAAAATACCAGATTGTCAAGTATAAAAAAAAACAAAAAACAAAAAACAAAAGCCTGTTTTTAATTCATTCCGGGAAAGTTGCATGACATTCATCAGCAGTTCTGTGTTTTCTGAGCGACCCAAGAAGTAAACAATTTAATCACAACAGCAGAGCCATGAAAACTGGTGGCCTCATGCCAAATTATCCAAACAGAAGGATGCGAGAACACACACACATACACACACATACACATACATGCTCATGCATCCTCACTTACCTAATTCATGGTCATCGGGGTTGTGCAGCGCGATCCTCTCCATGCATTTCTCATGTTCACGTTTGATGATGCAGTGCTCGGACTCTGAGGCCACCTGGAGAAAATGCACAAACACACACAATGTCACCCTGCATATTGACTATAGTGACACGCTGCTCCACCGAGAAGGTCTTAAAGGTCTTAATAAGCTTCTTGCAAGGGGTACGACTTAAACATGACCATGTCCGCCTTAAATTGATTTGGAATGTTTGACATGAGGTATCTGTATTTGTTGTGAACACATGCTCATGGCAACCTTGTTAGCTAACAGTTGCTTATCTACACACTCTGTAACATTATAATTCATTTTCAGTTATATATCTGTCCACCTGGAGAATGAAAGTAGAATATTCACACTCTTTTCGGTCTCTACCAACTCCTGAGGGAAATATCTGGATCGGTAGCTGCTAAATGCTCCAAACATGTTTACTAGCTAGTCGCTGACTGTGTCTGTCTGCTGTTTGGCACTGAGCAGGAAGGGTACAGTGAGTTTTTAGAGCCTTTTTGTTGAAAACAATTGCTCTCAGCAGCCAAAAACAATGCTATGACAGAGGTGAGAGTGAGCCAAAACAGTAAAGTTGCAAGCCAGACAGCTAAACATTGAGCTCACACTCACAATAAGGTTCCATACAGCTGGGAGGGACTGTCGATTCAGGTGATAATTCTCTGGGAAAAACATCCAACTTATCCTGTGTTCCTGCATTAAATGCTTTACTTTCTGTCGGCATGTGTCAAATACGTGTTAAAGCATTTAAAATTAGTCTATTTTTGTACCATAATCCCTCTCTCCTCTCTTCTGGTAAAATGTTAAAATACGAAAAATACCTCGGAGGGGTATACATAAAATGTATCTAATCAAATGTGATTTGGGGCAATTAGCTAACCCTTCCAGTCATTAGTTAGTTAGCTTGTGGGCTGTGGTATAGCTTGCTGAGCGATATCAAGGGTTGAAGTATATGTTTCTTGTTCTCTGCCTTCTGATTGAACAAGTTTGTTACGAACTGCGTTTCCTTGGAGATTTGCTAATTCACATCCACTTTTGAAGTTAAAATTTAATCCCTGAACAATTTTATTAAATCCCTCTGAAATTGGCAGCCCACCTCAAATTCTGCTTCACTTGCAAATTCGTCAAGATAAGAAAGCTGAAGATGCTCTGAATGCCATTTCACTCTCACTATAACCAGCCAAGGAAGATAACACTTGAGAGGAACCGGTGTTGTTTGGCTCTGCAGTACAGTCAGGGAAACTATTTACCCAGAGGTAGTAGAGTTAGCGTATATCTGTCACCTGCTCTATAACTCTCCTTCTTGCTCTCTTAAGGCCAATCTCTGTTTTGCACCCGTAGCTTTCTCGCGCTCTCCTCCTTCGCTCCCTCTGTGAAATGATAGGTGTAATATGTCCCAGCCCTCTGAGCTATGGCTGACTCATCACTCCATCTCTCTGCCCCCCATTATAAAATTCACTTCAGGCCTCGCTGCCTAGATAAGATAGGGCATCAACCGACTGTGAAGATGTCCTAAGATTCACTTCCTTTCTGTATCGCGCTGCACATGGACAGAATTTTAAAATGTTGCATGAATTATGTGAAACATCATCAGAGCTATCTGCTATCATTTGGTGTGATTCCATTTCCAGATAACACACAAACAGCTCCTGTCTCACCATGATGGCCAAACAAAAACAAAAACACAAGATATTAAAGCCCTCTTTTTTTCTCGTTGTTGATAGTGTTTGATATTATTTAATGAAACCGAGACTGGCATTGTTGGAAAGAAAAAGACCTTTTTTGTACCCATAGCAAGCATCCATGTTGCTAAGCAGCAGGTAACCAGCTAAGAGCCAATGCATATTGTAGGCAAGGCTTCCCAGAAATGAGAAATAATTGGATGTGGATGAGTATCTGTTTGGCATGAGTGCAGACAGGCCTGTGAGATGACAGTATGAAATGTGTTATTCATTAATTTACTTATATAGAATCCTGGATAGGTTATGCATGTTATTGGGTTAAATGTTTTTTATTTTACTATAATGGGAATCAGTATTTACTATCGGTTTTTATCTATGCTGATCAAGACTGTCCTCCCGTAAGAAACAAGCCCGTATGTTGCGTTGTATGTGCAAGCAGCTTATTCCGACCTACAGTTATGCGTTATTGTTGATCAGCAGGGGAGGAAGTCAGGTGACGTAGTATGAAAAGCGGCAAATTCCACGTTAGGAGGAGGCTGAAGTGCATGAATGGGTCGACCTTGGGAACAGGAGGCCACTGTTTGTGTCCCATGTGAAACTGATCATCTGTGTTGTGTCTTTCATCCATGATGGTTCGTTCACAAGCTTAACTGTGCGTTTATCATTGTTACCATGACGAAAAAGGTACGGTGGTATGCTCCTACATATCATATTGTTGTCACCATTGCCACTGGTTAACAACCATGCCAGCATTTAAACTTTTATCTACCTCTCTCGCACGCACACTGAGCAGCTAGGAGTGTCTGTTCTTAGCTATATGATCGTTTCACATCTGTGCTCTGTCACACACCAACAACATCGACTCGAGACAACAACTCGAGAGTCATGAAGTGGATACAGGTAGCTCACACACACACACACACACACACACACACACACACACACACACACACACACACACACACACACACACACACACACACACACACAGACACACACACACACACACACACACACACACACACACACACACACACACACACACACACACACACACACACAGACACACGGAGATGTACACATCAATAACGTAATACCTACATTTATAAAGGATTGGCTCTTAAGTTTAAAGGCTCGACCCGCCTGTGGTCGACTTGCATACATGTTTTCACTTACTATGCCTGGGACTTCTTTCCAGACTGTACATACTGTGCTTGATTGACATTTCCCTCACTCTCTTGTTAGAGTTTTGTGTATGTGAAGGTGGGACAAATCACATCTTCAGCAATTTTATTAGTAATTTGTAATTAGTGTCTTAACGCAATTCCAGCAACCTCTTTTGGTAAGGAGGGATTACAAGAAAACTAAGAGTTATGTTAGATCTTGTGATGCTACAGTGATTTCCTCTTTACATTACTAATGCCTTCACTACATTAGACATTTTTTATTGGTGCAATGCTGCTTGTAAATCTTTAGTTCAAAACTAACTAAATTTAAGAAGGACTTGTGCACAAACTTAGCAAAGGAGAAGACTTGGTGTAACCCAGTCAAGGTTAATTGAGGGACTACTGAGGGTGTAAAGAGTTCTCACCTAAAACAGGCACCATGACAACAACGCATGTGCCAGAAGATGGATCAATGAATTCTTTTTAAGTATGCTTGCTATTCTCTGCTCCCAATTACTCCTCTCCTCTCCGCTCTGAAACAGATGTTTGTCCAGATAAGCTGCCCATTTTGAAGCCGCAGAATCCTGTTTCCCTCCCCAAGGCTATTTTCAAGGGCCAGATAACTCAGTAGCTCCCACAGCACTGTGCAGCAAAGATAATAAAACTCCCATTTGACGTCGCAGACCACTGGCCCTCCGTACAGACCCATTTGACACACAATAAGCACATCACAACAGACGTATCTGCCACATCATCTGCTGAAGGTCAGCTTGAGACTGCATTGTGCAAAGATGTCAGCTGGAGGAACACTTCATATGTTACGGGGCAGTGTTAACTTAAAGGTTAGAAAATATATTTGTGACTGCAAGGTCGCATTGTGAATTAATTTTAGTCTCCCTAGTAACCATCATCAACTGGTACTATTACTATATTTACTGGCCATCACAAAAGCATGAAGAAAGCATCATCAAAATCATAGATATAGGGCAAATACCAGGATATGAGAGTCACATAAAGCCATTTTTATATAAACCGAAAACAATTCATGTATCTGTGTGGCTTCACCAAGGAAACTGCTGCTGTGCTGCATCGGTGCACTGGATATAATTCCTCCCACACATCTTCCCACAACTCTTCCATTCTGTTTTTTATTTCAATGAGACCACTAATAAAAGTGAGTCAGAGCAGATGGATAGGCAGCTCTCCGGTCAGCCAGGCCATCTGTTATTGTTCGAACAGGCGGCCAGTTGCCTTAACACAGAGCTGATCCAGGACCTGAAACGTATGCTGATGTGCTGATGCGGCATATGGTGATCTCCATCCTTCCAGTGCCCATCATTGACACACCCGCGAGAGTGTACAAATGAAAATAAACTACAGCTACAGCTGAGGAAGAGGAGGCCGACGATGAAGACACGTGAACGCACTCACAACCCTTATGCATGTAAATATGCATTCCTGTATGCTCATACGCACCCCCGTGAACACCCACACATGTGCGCAGTACATAGATACACACAATGCACACAAGCTACTCACCAAGGGCAGCAGAAAGATTGCAGTCAGCAGGTAGCCTCTCATTGTCTCCTGTGAAGCGCTTGTATCCAAAAGGCGCCACAATACGAGTGTGTGTGTGTGTGTGTGTGTGTGTGTGTTCACTGGGATGCACTCCCCTCAGTGTACCCACACTTCAGCATCAAGGGCTCTGAAATACAACACATAGAGGGAAAAGACTGTAAGCGAACAAACAACAACACAACAGCATTATCACTGTATTATTTGCTTCTACTTGTGAGGGCCATATTAAAGGGGCTATATGAAAGTTTTCTCTGCAGCTGAACAGGGTTTCTTGCCGGGAGCGTGTGGTGGGGATTGCCGCTTGGCAAGCGCTTTGGCCATAGTTGTCTTTATAATACAAGAGGTTATAATACAGCCTCTAAGCAGTGCTATGTCTTCAGGGCAGATTGGAGACTGCAGTGAGTAAGTGAGAAAGTGATGAGACAGGTTGGGGCTAACTGGTTAGCGTGCTAACTTCAGAAGAAGAAAAGCTGTGATGGAGAAAAAAGTTAACATTGGCGTTGCTTTCCACTGCTGCAGACAGCTGTTGGTGAGTAAAAGAATTAAGTTTGAGGCTTGATTCACAATGTTTCTTCTAGACTGGTAAGTCAACAGCTGTTAAAGCTAATGTTATCTATGTAGTGATAGCAAAACTTATAAATAGCTCCTTCAAATAAAGCAATGTGTAGATATATGTTGTGCTATAGTAACATATGCTGATGCGATGCTAAGATGTATAACATGATATTATTATGTGTTTTAGAAACTGAGTTACTGCTTTTAAAGACTTCAACTTCGTTGTGGTTAAACTTAAAAAACACAAAATATTACAGCAGGCTGAAAAACCGAGAGAACCACATACTGTACTGTGAATGTAATTTGTGGTTAATTTGGTTTATTACTGTAGAAAAACAAAAATGTGAAATCATCCCAAAATGGAACTAAAATACTAATCTGAAGCAGTGATTTATAGAGCAGGTTAATATTATACTGAATAACCCTTTTTCCAAAAAAAAAAAACATTTTACTTTACACAACTATCTAATCTGTATCAGAGTAGATGCCTATATTTTGAAATAGCATTTAGCATGAAACACTTTTACACAAGCACGTGGCATCTTTTCCCATTAAACCACAGGGTAAAAAAAGGAGTCTGATTGCTGGTCTCATGTGTATCATATCTAATTTTAAATGTAATACATTTTAAAATTAACAACTCTCCTGCTCGATCTGTTTTATACAAGTCTATCTTATTTTTTATATCCTGTGCTATTTTACTCTTAAAATCATGGTTCTATGTCTTTTTATGTCTCCTTGTGTTTCGTTCATATGTTGTCTTAATGCCTTTTAATGTCTTATATACAGTGCTGCACTTTGAATGGCTTCAACTGTATGTGTACATGATGAGAACCACAGTTTCAACATAGCATAGTTGTAGTTTTTGCGAATGTTAAACTGGTAAAATGAGTGAAAAAGAAACTGAAATCAATGAAAAGACTAGAGCTGAAACTATCGGTTGATTAATCAATTAGTTGAGTGATAGAAAAATACTCATATGCAACTATTCTGATAAGCGAATAATCGAGTATTTGTGATTTCATTTTGTTTGGTTTTGAGGTGTTAGACAAAATAAACAACTTCATTGTGATGAAAAGAAAAAGAAAAATTCACACATAGAAACAAACACACAGCGATTCAGTGGGTCTGTGTCATGTCATATCTTGTCCCCACAGAATCTGACACTCATAAAAGCTCCTTGATCAAATCAGAGAGGAAATGTTGCTATTTTCTACTGAGGTTATATACAGCAACAAAAAAACATGTCATCACTTAAGCTCTAAATTAAAGCAGAAACTTGAGACAAGGGAGGATTTATGAAGGACAAGTTGATTAGCAAAGGCAAAAAATTTGGGAGGATCACATAAATTTCCTTTTCTCCTAAAGACGATAGAATTTATGTGTCTGGGGTCAGACTTTAAAACAACCCCCTCCCAAACCCAACCGCCTTCGTGTCTTACTCATCTGCACAGCTTCCTGAAAACATAATGATTCACTGCAAACACAAAGCACACACTGGCCAGCACCAGCAGAGACACATAACACACACATACAATGAGTGAAACAGCACAGTGTGCGCACGCACACACACGTCTCCTCCCAAAGCTAATTCATGCACACACACTGACAAATTCCGCTCTGTGTCCCTTCCCTCTAGAACTGAATCCAATTACCTCTAAAGCATCTCTTGGATGCTCTATCAAGTAATAGGACAGACCGTGCTCAGAGGGAAAACCGGGAGATATAGAGGGAGGATAACACGTGTCAAGTAAGGCTGAAGCCAAACTGTTGGGATGAACGTTTAAACAGAAAAAACAATCAGAATCAACAAAGATCAACAAAAACACAATCAGACGCGAGCAGAGACAGACAAATAAAGAGATGGACATGGGATCAGGTAGCTTTGTTTCTCTGTTTCTCTCTAAGCCAAAAGATCACAGCAGCCATGTTGCTAGGGGATGTAAATTAAGTTAGAAAAAAACAAAACAGCCCTTAGTATTTAGAAGATATGGTATTGAGGAAGCACTGGTGCAATAAACAACAAAAAGGGCTAAACAACAAACTATCCTGTGGGCAAGAAAGCAGGGGAGTCTACGCTCAGCTCTGGATGTATGTGACATGTGAAGCTTCATACTGATGGGAATTTAAGCAGAAAATCAAAATGCTGTTTATTCCAGTAGGAAAATACCTATACCTGAGAGGCATAACTTAAGACATAATACAAAATAGAAAAGGATGCAGGGCCTTACAGGTTTCCAATTAAAAAATAATAATGGCTTAATCAATTGTAAGGCACTGGACTTGACCAAAGACTGGTGCGAAACACAATCAGCCTGTGATAGGATGAAAATCAGCCACAAGACTGTGTGTGTGTGTGTGTGTGTGTGTGTTTGTGTGTGTGTGTGTGTCACCAGTTACAGATGCAGACAGAGAAAGGCACCAGAGAGAACTGAAAGCTCCTCAGGTCTGTGCACCATCTTTAATGATTTTTCCCTATTGTAAACGGGAATTTCGAAGATGCGTCTCGCCATATCAGCTCCCTCCTCATGTGTGTTGAATTCCTCTGAACGTCGAGGTGCATGAATTATTCATGCTCAGTTTAAACCGATCCCAGTAAGACAGGAGAAGCTTCCAATTAGCCCGAATGCAAGTCTGTTAATGTCTGTAGTCAGAGGGGGACTGCGTGTCTGTCAGTGTGCAATAACGCACCCATTCAGGTTCATTACTTCTTGGCAGCTTTTCTTAATGCTCCTGTGTTACAGATCATTCAGACCATATAGCTCATATTACAGGAATAACAGTTGAAGTCTGCTGCTATTTTCTTAGTGTTTAAATGAGCCTGCAGCTTGCAAAACGGTTTGTAGGCATCGACAGTCGAAAAATACATCAGTCTTAGTTACTATCAATCAGTGATAAATGATTTTTCCCTCGCTGGTGAAGAATAAATAGGCAAATTTTGCCCTGCCTTTTCCCTTTTATTCCCGCTTTCGAAAACGTTTAATTCTTCAGTGCATATGGGTGACCTTCGCTGTGCACATGGAAAACATCAGCAGGAGGAACGTCTGCCTCCCGCTTATTTACTGTGTACCGCACTCGAGATCCATCCACAGCTTTCCTACGGTCACTGAAGAAGACATACGATTTTTACACGGGTAGGGTTCAGTGAAAACCTCCTTCATTACTCAGCCGCAGCGAAAGCTAAAGATGTGAGTAAAAGCGCGCAGCAGTCGGCGTGGAAAACAAGTGAAAGGAACTTACCGATGCGTAATTTTCAGAGGCGCAAATATCTACACATGAAGCCATCGGTATTCACGGATCCCCGCGGTGTTTCGCTGTGGATTGCCACGGAGAACACCTTGTTTTACTCCTAACACGGTTATCAGCTCGTCCGGAAAATGACAGGTGCCGTTAATGCTGCTGTTGCTGCTGCCGCTGCTGCAGGACGCACTCACCGCGTTGGCTGCTGCTGCTGCGGCACCTCGCGAGGAGGAGGAGGAGGAGGAGGAGGATGAGGAGGTAGAAGTGGAGGATGGTGTCAGTTCCTTCGGGATTCGCACCTCATCAGACACAGAGGCAACAAAGTGAGACAACAGTTTAGTCTGCAAATGCAGGGATGCAGCTGGAGGAGGAGGGAGCCTTTAAAACAAAAACGTCTCAACACTGGGATGGTGAATAGAAAGAAAAAAAATCCTCTTAAATGTCTTTGCCTCTCATGCGTGGGACTTTGATCCAAAAAAGAAACTATTCATAAACTCTGTGACGTTTGCGCGTGTGCTTCTAACACGCTCCAGAAGGCACAAGGTCCGGCTCCATGCTGGGTGCAATTTGTGAGGCACTGAGTCGGCAGATGATGTGTGTGACTCACATTTAGTCAAAAGTTTAACATCTGAATTCCTGCCTGTGTTCCACAGAAATCCCACAGTGCACGTTAGTCAAGATGTGCTGTGACATTTTAGTCCAAAAAGCAACATTATCCCCACAGAAGTGACCAGTATAGTGGCAACTGTAGCTGCTGGCAACCCTGTTTACTTTCAGCACCATGGACAGCGACCTAACACCTGCCTCAGGGCATCAATGAGCCAAACGAAATAAACCTCGACTGAAGTCATCACAACATCTGATCTGCAATAAAACAACCGTTTCTGTATGAACTGAGATGTGTATACTGAGAGTTGTTTTAATTAAAATATCAACAGGATTGTTGCAATCCAGGGTGGGGCAGATACTGGACAGAGGTACTAGACACAAGATACAAAGCAACTACAGTGATGCAAAACAACCACAAAAGAGCCTCTGGATCCACACTAAATATTTTCCAGTGGTAGTCATATGCAGCCCAGTGTTTTGAGTGCAGGGCGACACAGAGGTGATTGATCACCCAGCTGGGGCCTGTTGATGGGTTGGCCATAAATCAATGAGGTATAAAAAGTATTAAACCCTGCCATGTTGTGGATATTCTCAGAGAACACAACCGGAAATAGGAAAGGCCACAATGACTGCCATGAAGATACTAGCACTATCAAAACATATTAAATGTGGAGGAAAAAAAAATCCAAGACAACACCTGATTGGATGAAGGGTAGTGACGCACGTTTCCTGCCATTCCCGGAACATTTTAACACTGTTACTGGACCAGCCTCAAGGACATCCACGGCAATGCTTTCTGATTGAGAGAAATTCAAAAATTCTCTGTCACTGCAGTCAGCAGTCTGTAGGCTATATTTGTAGCATAATAGCAGGTAAGACAACGATTGGAGCCTTGTTTCCATGGCAAACACTCAGCTGCATCTTCCAGTGGCTTCAAGTGTTTTGGCTTTCCAATTCTCTGTGAACTTTAGACCAAGCAGTGAGGCAGAGACGCTATCATACACTGCTGTGATAATTACAGTATGTCTGTGTGTGAGCTGAATAGCAAGAAGGGAAGATAGATTAAAAAAAACTGTGATTACTGTGGTTTTATTTGGATTTTGCTGAAATATCTCCACTTCACTTTGATCACAAAATGAAATAATCAATTTAGGGTCTCAGGCATTTAGTCAAGGACACAGTATCACTGATGGTGGATACCATAATTGAAATGTCTGTCAGTGTCAAGGGTCAAACCAGTAACGTCCTGGCTATTAAATCGCCTCTCCACCCTGAGACCAGGACAAATCTGTGTGGTTTTCATTTCAACCAAACACAGCTGGTTATTTCATATTTTAAATTATAACACAAACAGCTGGCTTAGGATAGTGGGTGGGGAGGTGAAGATGGGGGTTACACATTAGTTGTAGCCTTTACTTTGGGTTCCACTATCATTTCTTAAAAAGGGAGAGAATAGAAACCTGCACACTCGATTTTGTTTCAGCGAGAAAATATCACCAAACCCTACTGTTATTTCAACTTAGAATACTAATAAAGTCCCCTTCAGATAGTTCAAGCTATTTTCAAACTAATGATTTATGAAATTAGGTTGCCTCAATTAAAATTTGAGAAATGTCTTAACTACTAAAGACTATTAAAGGTCTAGCGGGCTGGGGCTAGCTGGTTAGCGTGCTAACTTCAGAAGAAGAAAAGGTGTGATGGAAACAAGCGTTACCATTGGCGTTGCTCTCCACTGCTGGAGACAGTGGGGGTTTGACACTAAACTCACATTTCTTCTAGACTGGTAAGTAAACAGCTGCTAATGCTAATGTTGGCTATGAAGCAAAACTTACAAAAAGCTCCTTTAAAATGCGTAAAACAAGCCAATTCAACTGGCGGCCAGTTGGCCAACTCCGGCCTGTCAATCATAATAATTTTTTTTCTACAATAAAATCTCTAAACCACAGAGAGGATCTAATAAAGCAGCAGCCTTCTTGGTAAACAGTCACACCACTCCCAGGCAGTAACTGCAGTGTCTGTAGTCAAAATGTACCAAACTTTCAACTATAGATTGTTTTGTGTGTAGGGATGTGTACTGAAACCTGGTATTAATTGGCTGTAGTATAGATAAGGTCTGACATATCTCTCTCTCTCTCTCTCTCTCTCTCTCTCTCTCTCTCTCTCAAAGCCTGTGTGTGTGAGGGGCGGGGGCAGCTCTGTCTCACGCTGGAGCACCGTGCAGCACACACACACAAACACAGAGATGCTGCTCTTAGTCACAATGGTGGAGAGAACTAAACGTTCAAAGTGTTGTTAAGTCTTTTGCATGTAGGGGCAGAAACACGAGCGACCCCTGGAAACATCCACTGAAAGTCCGTCACACACAGGGAGGGAAAAGTACAGTTTTCGACCAACTAGCTTAGTTCATCTGCCTGGAGCCCACACACACAGTTAACTGAATTATACGATGGGTTAATGATGAAAAGTAACCATTAACCAGCTGATTGTTCTGGGTGTGTTCTTAAATTCAATCTGAAATGGACAGAGTAACATCTGAACTATCATTCAGAATTTCAGTTTCAGTTTCAGGTCACTCAGAGCAGGGGCAGATTTAGTGATGTGGGGGCTGCTGGTGAACTACTGCACAGTAAAAATACTGTCACAGAAAAATTCCTCTATGAAATCATTGTGTATTACACTTGTTGTACATTTCCATCATTACAAAATCAGTCTATAATAGTGATTTGTTCAAAATAATGCTGTTGAAGTTTGCTGAATGATACAATTCACAAAACCCATCCCTGGCATCAAATGCACAGGCATGTCCAGTTCATTTTGAACTTTTGAATTCTCTTTGCTCTCTTCTGTTGTTTGCCTCTTTTTGTCACTTAAAAAATGCTGTGATGTAGCTTTGTAAGAGATGTCAGAATTAATCAAATTATATGCCAGACAGCTGCCATGATGTGTTGTAGAAAATCAAATACAATATGGCAAAATAGTTTTTAAAATGTGGCGCCATGTTGTTTCAAGCATAGGTACATAATGATAATAGCTCAGGGAAATGTCCGGCCCCCAGGCCCTAAGCTTTCAGGAAATGGGGCCCCCTGGACAACATAGTTCAAGCCCTGGCATAGAAGATATATCTTTTGTAAATGTTATAGGTATTTGTTTTATTTACGTCTGTATATATGGAGAAATATGAGTTTCAGACTTAGTATTCATAGATCATAGAGAATGAGAGAAAAATATCTGATTATGCTAACCTACCTGACATACATAACTCCACTTAGTAAACACTTATGTTGCAACTGGGCTAAGTTTCAACTATCATGAACAGGTGGTGAAAGTTACTTTCTCTCGCTGCTGGCTGTAGCTTCATATTTATTGTCCAGATACAAGAGTGGAATGAATCTTCCCATTTAACTCTCAGTGAGAAAGCAAATAAGTGCATGTCTGCAAATGTCTTAACTATTCCTTTAAACAGCCCAATTGCAGGTTGACTTTCCTGCTGTCTTTATCAAATATTTAAGCACTTAAATTATCATAAGTGATGCTCAGTTGGTTTTTCTCCTGCCTGCAATTCCCTTTACTTATCAGCTCCCAGTGGCGTGAAATTACGTAAATTTAAACCGCCAGTGTTTGAGGAAATATTGCACTGTACACATAAAAGTGTAAACCTGTTTTTGGAAATGTTTTTTTTTTTTAGGGATTTGAGAAAAGAGAAGAGTGTGTCTGTTGCTTTATTGATATAACTCACAGTCTATTGGAGGTGTGTTTGCTCCATTGCTCCGCCACTCGATGAGGCTCTCCACAGGACATCTCCCCCTCACTGTCCGTCTCTCCCCTGCCATCACGCACCAATCCGACCGTTGGATATCCAGGGAGACTCGTCTTTGACAAAATGTGGGAGGAAAGCATCAAGTGGTTGAGTGCTAAGACCACCTCCCCACCCAGTCTCAAAGAGGACACTGTGGGGTACCAGGCAAGACCTCATCCTCACCCTGCATCCCCTCTTCATTCTCCTCCCACATATCTGTCTCCCACTGAGTGTCTCACTTGGAGGAGATTAATCAATCGGCTATGCACATGAGAAAAAGCGGAGGAGGGGGAAGACGGAAAATCCATTAAAATTATGTTGGTAGAGGATAACAAAAAAGAAGAATTAAAAGGAGAACATTTTAAACGGCTCCCACTGTTACTTCAGCCAAACTAAATGAGATGACAATGTTTCACTTGATTACTTTTGATAAAGAAAACAGCACCAAACCACAAACATGATGAAAATACTCATACTCAGTACCCTACAAGTAAATGTTCTGTACTTAAATCTATATTACTTAAGTATTTAAGTATAATCAGAAAAAAGTACTTCATGTTTTAAAAGCCTCTGTCAGTGTTATACTATTATGTAATATACAACTATCAGGGGTTGTAGCAGGAAAAAACACCACAGCATTTATTCAGTGAGGGGTGTGTCCTGATTGGATAATTAAAACCACAGGTGCACAATAACAAAGGTTTATTAAACTA